TTTATTTTTTCTAAATATGCCATGATCAGTAATATTACTTCAGTTCATCACTCATTAAAGACATGCTATCTTACTTAAAAGCTATTTTTGCCATTATAGTTCATATATTAATGGAAACTAACTCAAGCCAAGACAGCTCGAATTCGTTCTATTTTGTGAAGCTGTATATTTGTTGATTTGCTGAATACAATTATTTGACATATTTGTTGAACAAAGTAAAGCACTAAGTTATTGTGGACTACGGTATTACTCCGTAGTCACTTCATATCAGCTTATTTATGGTATCAGTCCATATTCGACGAAAACAAATTGGCTTTTACTGATTCAAACTAATTTATTGGAAATTCTCTGATCTTGTTCAAGTTTCTTTGGTCAACTACTGCGGGATGCATGTCATGAGGTAAAAGTTTTCCTCTGGCCTTACTGTTTCCTTCTCCCCGTAAAGCCTACGTGAACAAACGCCTTTTTGGGTTTTTATTTTGCAATATGCCTAACGAGCGTCTTATGAGATCGCAAGCTACTTCTCAGGTGGTGAGAGTAGAGACAACCTGAAACTGACTGCTGCGTTCGCGGGCTACCTCCCGTACAGATTACGAAATTACTCTCTATTACTAAATTGTCCTTTTTCTTAACTCAAATTTATATTTGATTGATTCTCTCAGCAGTACCCGAGTTAAGCAAACACAATTGCTTCTTACCAACCCATTTTTTTTATTGATGATGACGTGTTAAGGTTGACAGGGATTTCTTCTTCCGACTATGTGACTGAGAAACGAGTAGGTGTTACTTGACCCATAAGCAGCAGATCCAAGTCATTTCATTTGCTTTTCAATTTAAATTATTTTTTATAACTAGTTCCTAAAATTCAGCTGAAAGTGAGTGGAGTCCCCTTAAAGCCGATTCTTAAGCACCACGCGCCACGTTATTTTTAGGTATTAAAACACAGAAAATACCACCAGTAAAACACATTGAAAAGAATAAAGACAACAGCAAAAACTATCTTGGCTGCATCATCTACTGAACCGTATTTAAAAATGTTTTTCAGATTAGCCATTTTAATATTGGACGTGCAACATGCAGAGATGGGATGTCGTACAATTCTCTCCTCGGTATAATCGTTCTGAAATAATCTTGAGGAAATGTGGGTTTTGTTATCCGTAGGTTTGATCGTTTTTCTAAAATTCTGAAATGAAAAACAAGCTTCAGTTAATGTTATAGAAACAAACTGAAACATTCACTCCAAGTGTTCATTCATAATTGGTTCACCACACTTATTTTAGCGAAGGAAAAAAATAGCTCACTCAGATGTCAGTAATTTCACGTGAATCTGATTATTAGGATGGTACTCATATTTTGTCGCTGTGCATATAGTCTGAGCATTATGGCAAAATCATTGAGATCTACTCTATAGGATATTTAACTTGTGGTTGACTGTAAAAGTAGCTCACTTATAATCACATGTTTATTCTCACGGAATATACACTCATTCTTACCATTCGAAGCTCTGTAGATTTGTGTCCTGTTTGTATGTTGTTTACAATCGCATATTCTGCAAATGCACTGAACACAAAAATATAGCAGAAAATCAGGTACCAGTCTACTGCCTTCACATACGATACCACGGGTAAAGATCCCTGACCAACACCGATTAACAGTGTAGTCATTGTGAGAACAGTCATTATACTTAGTGCAACACGAGCTGGAACTGACGTCGGATCAATGAAGAATGAAAGCCAAGACATAGATACGATAAGAATGGCTGGAATGTAAACCCTTGTCAGGTAGTGGCCAATGCGTCGAGTGAACACAAATCTCAGGCCAAGAACAGAGAAATTACCTAGGAAAACAGAAACAAACATTTAAAAGTATGAAAGCATTTAATGAGAAACACCGGCAAATTAAAAAGAAAGGAACTTGTTTTTGTACTTTGATCATATTGTGCCCGCAGAGTACAAGGTCGAGACCTTGTCTTTGGGCACCGGCGCCGTGCGCGAATTCTAGCGTGGGTACTTGAAAAAAGGCTGTGTTCACATTAGTACCCAGTGAGTACCGTACTCGGACACCAGTGCCCGGGCACATCAACCAGTCGCGTACCAGTTACGTAGTTACTGACTTTCTGATGAGTGCTGACTGATTTAAGTGTAAATTGAGCAATCTCTAGATTTTCTGGCGATGTTGTATTTCTCTCCTTCCACTCGTAAACAATATCATCAGTAGTAAAAGAGTCTGCAAAGCAAAAGAGTCAATGGAAAACACTTAATGGTATGAAAAAATTAAGAAACATTTTCAGTGAATAAAATGTATATATATATATATATATATATAACAGATAATAGAATGCTTATTCCGCAGTTGGAGTGTATTAGAATGAAGCCTAGTACATAATAAAGTTCGAAGTTATAACTCCGTAAAAAACGGGGTCTAAAATAGAATGATGTAAATAATGTTTGAAATATAATAAACTCCAGGCACTAGGTCAAGATAAACAGCTGCCAAAAAAAGGAATATAAACCTTTTAAATAAACATTTACAAATGAAAAGGATAGCATTTAATGGAGTTGTAACACGGAGTTTCACGCACTAAGCGATCATCAGACTAAAAATTCTGAAGACAGATTTTCCGTTTTAAGTTGGAAATTTGAAATTCATGGACGGTTGGAGCAGCGCGTTCTGTGATTGGTTGCGAAGAACTTGTTCTTGTGACGACACTTGGTTACCAGCTCGGATCATAAACATTTCATCCGCCTAGTTGGCTCAGTTGGGAGAGCGCCGGTCTGCTGAGCGGGAGGTCACACTCAGGGTCTTTAAATAACTGAGAAGAAAGTGCTGCCTTTGTAACGAAATCTGCAAACGGTTAGACTTTCTAGTCTTCTCGGATAAGGACAAAAAACCGTATGTCCTGTCTCACATCACTTACACTTATCTGGTTCTTGTGGGACGTAAAAGAACCCACACCATTGTTCGAAAAGAGTAGGGGACGTAGACCCCAGTATTGTGGTCAACCTTCACACTTCACATCATTCCCATCATGGGTAGGATGAGTACAGTAAGCTCATAAATGGACTGAGAGCGGCTGCCAGTGGCCCCTTGTATGCTGATGTCCGAGGTTACTGTTCCCAGCACATGGTCAAATGTATTATAAGAGGGCAGGGCACGTCCGTCCTCTCATCCACGGCTCTTCATTTCATTTCATTTCATTTATTACAATATTTATATAAACGTTTATTTAGAAAAAAAGCTAGAAAACTAAAAATTAAGGTCTTTTTAGCCTTTTATGAAAACTCACACATTAGCCTCAACTGGCATCAACGCTGGTAATAAGCTACTACATTTTAACGATAGGTATATTTTTTCGGTACTTACAACTTGAGAAGTTCAATTCACACTCTTGTCGATCCATGGGAAACTTACGAAAGTCCATGACACAAACACACGTCAGAGTGATTCTAAATATTATAAATAACCCAAGTCAAAAGTCATGACGACGCTAAAAAAATTAGAACAAATTTCACACGGTTTCAGATTATCAGCTCAGTTTTAATGGGAAATGATGACTGTGCGAAACTTTGTTAGAGTAACTGTCAACATTCAGGCGCGCCAGGGTCATGTTTCCGTGTTTTGTTTTAGTGGTGTTGGGGAAGAAAAAATTGTAACAGCCCCCTCCGATTAAAACATCGTTTATTAAACTTTTTTGAATATGAACAGGAAAATTGTTGAATTTAGTCACGAAGTTGAATAGTCCCCTTCATTTTGAAAGCCTGCAGTTATGCATGTGGCAATACACAATAAGACATAAAGACAAAATAAGCGTTTTGTTACCTTGTGCTAATAAATACACTTCCATCTTGTTGAATTACCATCACTTTGTTTAAGGCGGTCAGTTTGTGCAGCTCTCCCTTTTTGGTGTTTTGAAAATATGTGTCAGGCTGCCACAGTCTGTCAGCGGTGTCGCCAGGTAACGTTATCTGCCTCTTAGGCAAATTATGAGATAACCTATCATCATGCCAGTACTGACGAAAGTAGAGTTCCAGAGTAAAAGTCTGTTAAGTAAACAGTGTCGGTCAATTTCAGTTCAGTTCCCAGTGAAAACGAGAACTATCAGAAAACATAATCTACCTGTCAATAGTTACCTATTGTGGAAACATATCTCAGTGTACACTAAAAGAGTATTTCAAATTAATGACACAGATTCATGCGAGTAAACAATGCAAACCATATCAATTTCTTGAAAGCCTCCTATGTAAATTATGTACACATCAGCTTGGACTGCTGTTGGCGGCCCTGTCAATAACATGGTAAAACTCATATAAGTGATGATCTTGTTGGTGTTTGAAAGACGTCAGAATGGAAAATATATCAATATTTGTAACCTCGGCTAGGGCTTTAATTCTGTCGGTATTCCTTATTGTCTTAGTTCTATACCTCTTGCATTTGGGCGAATAAATCTGTTACTTTCATCCTTTAGTTTTCTCATAATGACAGCTGCCTGTATATCGTCCATGAGTTGCGTCGAGTTATCCCTATAATTAAGGCTAGTAAATATTAGATAGGATCGTGGATGGGTAGAGGAAAAATTATAACTTTAAAACAGCGGGAATTATAAAAATTTCCTTTTTTCTACTAATGGAGAGGGTTGCTCAGTAATTTATAAAAAAATGAAAGTCTCAATTTGGTCTTCACCTATCGCAGACAAACATTCTGCATGGCCCTAAAACAACATACTTGTCAACGCTATCACTTTACCTCCCCAAACTTTCTTTCGAATTGACTCGCCCCTTCTTTTCTTGATCAGAAAACAAGGCAGCACTGTACTGATTTGTATTTCGAGTCCCGATTCCAAGTCCTGCGATGACCGCTACAATGCCGGACAAAACTACTTGAGAACGTTTTCCCATAATGTACACTATCCTACGAAACAAAACTATTTCCAAAACAACGGCTTTGCGAAGAGACATCCCCTTCCCCTAGTTCAATGTTGCTTCCCACAAACGCCTAAGGATCAGGCTTTCCTTTGAATACACAACAACATTGCTTGCGGGAAGAGGGAAGAATCAGTACATCTAGGATGTTAAGAAATATGCGCCCCAAGTATGCAATTTTCTCAACAGTTTTGTCTAAGATTGTAGCTGGGTTTGTTCTTGGTAGCCCCGATTTTAAATCCTCAGCCATGACGGTAAATAGCCGACGAGTTCGCCTCCTGCTAGTTGGTTAAAAAAAAAAGGGAGAAAGAATCACGTTTACGTCAAACGTCAAACGCGAATTTGTACCACGTGACCAACTTTCCTCTTTACTTGTCATCTACTGTTCATTATTTCTGCACCTAAATTTTTAGTAGTTTCACGCAATTTTTTATCTAGAAGAATTGTTTTGAGCTGTTTTTATTTACTCATTTCCAATTTTTAAAAATTCTCAACTCAAATCTGACGTTTACCGTTTGCTGTATACGTGAAGCTTAAACGCTCTATTAACTGCATCTTCCAAATTTGGTCAGCGCCAGCAGATTATTAAGAAGATAAAGTAAATCAGAAACGGTGAAATACTTTGAATGAATGATAATAGGAATAGGACTTATGCTGTCCCTCTGTTCACTGAAGCTGATATTTTTGCCAACCGCCTAAAATATTTTCTTTCTTTCGAGTACGTTTGTTGTTTAAAGTAGCACGGCACTACCACCACTACCACGGCAAAGTTTCAACATAAAAATCTTTCGGCAGTAATTTCAGACAATATAATTTGCTCTCTAGTTTACCTTTTCGAAGTTAACATCAATATCGAAAATTACCTGACTTACTGGAGTTAAAGGAAAAATTTTCAATTTCCGTTTTTAGGGAAAATGAATGCGAGAGGCTGCAGGAGAGCAATTTGACCTCTCTTTAATTCAGCATCAAGTTCAATTAACTCGCAAATTAAGCTCTAAAAAGTGTATGAACTGGAACGGTCCTGGTTGAACACTGGATTCATTATAATTCCATTTCACGTTCTTGTTTGTATTACTCTAGGGATTATTCTAAAATTTTGAGTTTTCTCTTGCCATGCCACCCATAGCCAGGGGTAATTAAATTAACACCTTTCGGGTGACGTAGCACAATTCATTACTTTTTATGTATTTCAGTTCCTCAAAAACCGAGGAATAGTGTTAATGCACTGATCGATGATATAAAGAAACTTTCTTGAAATTGACTGTTAAAGATAATAAAAACTATATACAAAATTAACGGTGCAGATATATACCTTAATGCATAACATTTTTTAATCGAAAGGTACCCAAAAACATTTTTAACCGTTTTAACGACAACAAGGTTGATCATTCTTATTACACCCGGTCTTTCCCATCTTACAACTTTATTCATGTTATGACATCTAGGTTTGAAATCCAAAAGAGTGCATTTTCAAGAGTAGAAGCTAAGATATGGGATGAGATATGCGATAAAGCATATTTTAAAAACGAAACTCCACTTTTTTCTATGTTGAGATTCTAAAGAGGCATGGTGACTATATCGACATTTCCCAAATTTATACACCACTAACAAATTCTGAATAGAAAGCTGCTTGTAATTAAGATAATATGAATTATACTAAAATATTGAATTGAATTGTAATATTGCAACGTTTTTGCATGGATTGATTGACTGTTCCTCCTAAATAAGTTAATCCCAACTGCAGATCAAGCTCTGGTTGTTGTACAAATATTGCAAATATTGCTGTAATAATGTTGAGTCGAGCCTAACGTTGAGTTGAGTTGGGTTATTGCGATTCGGGAAGGGCTTATTTGAAATTTTTCGGACGCTCCTTTCGAGACCTAGAGCCATACTTATCGGAGACGTTTTGGATAGGAATGATTATGTTAAATTCATCTTATATATAACTGGCTCCTTTTCCATTGCCGATCACAAGTAGGACTATACTGAGGGTAAAACATTTCCTCTGCAAAAACTAATAGCTGTCATTATAAATACAATATTCTGTAGATAAAATTATACCTAAAGGCTTTTGCCTCCATTACACTGGTTATGTTAACAGCAGTGGGTTCACATGAAATTATTTCCTTTCTTGTTTTTTTGCCTTTTCTTTACACAACTAAACGAATCTCTTTGACGTGTGTTAATAATAAACTGTTTTTCTCGCTTATATCTTAGTTTTGCAAAGCTTAATGAATCCATACCTTTAGGACTGTAATTATATTTATTTACCTGAGAAAGGCACTTGTCATTGACTGAGCTGATAACAGGAAAATGATGGCCGCCTGTACTACCTTCGCTGGACTCGGCATTTCATCTGCTGGACACACTCTGAGAAACAAGGCTTAATTCTAAGCCAAATCATAGATGACACAACAAAAGATATCTTGACCGTGCCCCGATAAACAATAAGCCTTATAAATATCGGAATTGTGATAATTTGCACTTTCCAATGCCTAGTAGAACCGAGAAGCTTCAATTTTAGTGACAGATGAAGCGACTTGTCGTAAAGTTGTTGGGCAGATTTCCACACGTTTCCGGATATTTTTGAAAACGGGGATTAATCTTTTCTCTGTTTTCAACAAAATAGTCATACACTTATGGCGTATTCGAATCGTTTTCGTCCTCTATATATGAAAAACGCCAAAACGATGGAAATACTAAAACTTTTTTCCTTCCGTTTAAACGAATTCGATAAGCCAGCGTTTTCAAAGAACTCCACTTTGGCGACCGTTTTTGAAAACCTACGTTTTTGTTTCTCGAATTCGCCGTCTATGTATGGACGGAAGGCTAAATCGGAGAGGAAAAACTCCGTTTTCAAAATATAAGTGTGGATGGGACACTAACTTGGCTGAAGAATACATTAACATAATGTGCCTCAGTTTTCATCCTGAGTAAGCTTGATTTTATACACATTCGGGCGAGAGGCCATTAATCGTATATACTGGTAACTGCTTTGACAACAAGTCACTGTCTACTTTTGTTATGAGCGAGATTTAGCAACAACTAAGGCGCTGGCACAGCTGGCGGCTGTTGAGAAAACGCCATTAACGAAATTAATTCCCACTGTTTCACAGCTCGTCCTATGCCACTTACTTAGTATATCAACTTTCGGTAAATTTTCGGGCCGGAGTTAATTTGAAAGGAGCACACCAAACTTTGGAAAAAGCAAAAAAAATGGTCTTCGTGCAATTAGTATGTGTAATATCATAGGTGACGAATTACTCCTTAATTTTGGCGCGAAATTTCAGCGTTAATTTGTAATTTCACATGTGAAATTACTAAATTGCCATGGCAACCGGTCGTACGTCTCCGTTTCAAGATGGCGACGAAGTTTTAAAATGTCATGAATGAAGATGCCAGGGCATAAAAAGACGCTTTAGAAAACCTGAACATACGAAAGAGCACATCAAGAAGGATTCTTAGAGGTATGTTGTCGAAAAATTCTGAAAACTTAAGCCAAATTTTAGCTCTAAACGTTTGAGAGAGTGGAGTTCACGATCGATCGATACGATCCAGGATAAACAAGTCAAAAATCGTCGATTGCTAAGGTAATTCGTCACCCATGATTTTAATAGGTAATCAAATGGTATGCTCGTGTATTTAGGGAATAATTTCACTTGCGTTTTGTCCAAATCCTAATAATTTCCCGAGCCTTTGAAATTATAAGGAAATGGACAAAACGCGCGTGAAATTATTCCCTAATTTCACTCGTCACCATTTGATTACACATACTACACTTTACTTTAACTTCAGGTTCAGCAATGGTGGCCTGTGTGCATTGTATTCCGATTTCAACTTTTAACTCTGGCGCAGATTAAGAATTATGCAATATTTTTTTTAACTCAAAATGTTCCAGTCTATTCTTGCTATTAATTCAGTGGTAACATCTCCAAGTCAACGCGAAAAGAAGCTGAGAAAAAGTTCTTAAAGGTTTTATAATTAATTTTCTTAGTTTCACATCCAAAATATTGTGATAGCAGAATGATAAATGTTTAAGTTCAACCATTCTACGATTTATAGCCATTCGCTGACAAACCAGATAAATCGGAATCATTTGAATTTTATCCGGCTATCCTTTTTGCCTCATTCATGTGATTATTCTTATTCTCTTGGTTTTTTGGTATCGTTAGTCTTAAAGAAAATATTTTTGTTTCGTCCACTGAGATTTTCCTTCTTCTTTCAAGGAGCTGCGGCCTGAACCTTCATTAACACGACGTCTGGCTACCAGAAATAGTTCATTATTTGCAACTGAAATGACCAACATCGCTCTGCTGTAAAGATATTTGGTAAAGTCGGGGTCCGTTTTAGAATTGAGGAATCGTAAGATCGTAAA